GGTCTTTGAACGGTTTTAAAAGATTTTCGAAATGAGGCAACCAGCAACCGGACCAACCCCAAATTGGGGCAACTGCAACCGAAAAAAAGACCGGACCATGGTCCGGTTCAGTTTGGTCCACCGGTTTTTTGCGGTCCTATGGACTGAACCTTTAAACACTAATCTATTCCCAACTGGATGATACCTGGCTCTCCGCTGTTCTGGGTGTAAATTTCTCCAGGCAATGCAAACATATTGCTTTGTGCCATCATATCTTTATTGCTAGCTTCCTCAACAATCATTTTAGCAGACTTCCCATTTGTCCCTCTAGGTACTGGTTGTCCTGTGAGCACAAAAAACATCTTATGACCGGACATTTTAATTTTTCCCATTCTAATATGTTCTTCCCTATGAGGACAATTCATTGCGAAATGCCCTGTTTCTTCACAGTACCAGCATCCGTCTGAACCCATTCTCCAAGTAGGCTGTGTCTGCCTCATGGTGGGTGCTGAGGTAACATGCTGGGTCATTAACGTCTCAGTTAATTTGTTCATTTCTTGTCTAGATGCTTGGAAGGCACTCATTTGTGCTTTTTCACTCAATGTAATTTTATCCATGAGTAACACAACTTTCTGGTTTAATTCTCGGATATCATCTTCTAGCTTAACACTATGTACTGGCGTAGTATGCGTGTGATGCTCTTGTGTCGTCCGTGTTTCTGTCGCATTGACACCAACCCAGGTATCACTTGAAGAGCTAATCCCTTGTGCATATCCTGCAATAGTCTCAGCCATTTCAATTACATCTAGGATAGGATATGGATCCTCTGGATGGTGTTCTTTTCCTTCAGCAGTTTTTCCTTTATCATCTTTGGAAATTTTAATATTGAGACTTCCTTCCACTTGACCTCTGAAACTATCCTCAACTAATTCTCTGTTGCTCACCAAGGCAGGTGGCGTCAAGAGTAATTTTTGTTCTGCCCGAAAGCTTCTGGTAAGGGTTTTAAGTGCAATAAAGTCATCAATATTGATGCGCTGATGGTCTTTACAAATTTTTCTTAAATTTGCCAGTGTTCCTTTTCCCGCCATCTTTGCTTCTGGATAATCATCAAGGTCTTATCAGTGCCCCCCTAATTCCTGCAGGAATCCGGTCATTCCGGTGGATTCCGGAGGAATGAAATTTGGCAGGGAGGCCTGCTATTTTCATCATTCCGGTGCCTTACCATTCCGGCGGAATTTGGGCATTCCGGAATTGACACCGGAATGATCCGCGGAATGCACAGGAACGGAATGTAACGGAATCCAGTCCTTTGTTTGTTTATTTTAGTTCTGTTACCAAACAAAGGCAACGTTACCAAACAATTGCAACACCCTTTCCTTTCACCCACCACCAACCATCCTCGTCCCCCCACTTCCATTCCCTCCCACCACCCACGTTGGCAACGACAACGATGACCACACCACACTACCCAACAACAGCCACGACCACACCAGCATTGAACGGAAGCGACCACCGCCAGCGAGGTGGCACCACGACAATCCACGAGCGCCCACGACAACGTGGCCGATCCACGGGCGCCGCCATCAACCAGGGCCCACCACAACCACCACACCAGCCAGCCACGAACGACACACCACGCGCCCACCAGCATCATCAACATGACACCGATGCAACGTGGCAGCGAAACGACGTGGGAACGAGGTGGCAAAAAGACGACGACGACGCGACGTGGGTACGAGGCGACAACGCAATGACGACAACGCGACAACGACAACGCGACATGGGTACGACGGCAACGCGACGTGGGTACGAGGCGACAACGCGACAACGACGACACGACGTGGGTATAGTGTTGCCGCGGCTTTGGCTTTTAGCTGGTTCAAGTCACAGCTGAGCTGAAATTAAAGCTGAGCCGAGCCGAGCCGATTGATCTGGCTTGGCTACTGCTTGAGCCGGCTAGAGCCGGGATTTTCAGCCTCATCAACCACACATGCTAGCTCATTCGAAACAAATAAAATTGGCCTTTGTCTGTACATATTATTCAACTAGTATGTAATAGAATATACTTTAAATGAACCTAAGATCATAGAAAATAGCTAAGAATTGCCTGAGACGGTGTGACAGAGTCACACCCCCAAAACAGAGAATGTAATATATCTCTGGAACGCGGACATGCGAACCTCTCGTCTCTTCAGGACCTTCAAACGACACTGAATATGTTTTAAACGAGCCCTAGATCATAAGAAACGATGGAAATTTGACCAACCTAGGGTACTTGCTCCCCAAAACAGAAAATGGAACATAGCTCCAGAACGCGGACATGTGAACCTCTCGTCTCTTCGGGACCTTCAAACAACACTAGAATATGTTTTAAACGAGCCCTAGATCATAAGAAACGATGGAAATTTGACCGACCTAGGGTACTTGCTCCCCAAAACAGAAAATGGGACATATCTCCAGAACACGGACACACGAACCTCTCATCTCTTCGGGACCTTCAAACAACACTAGAATATGTTTTAAACGAGCCCTAGATCATAAGAAACGATGGAAATTTGACCGACCTAGGGTACTTGCTCCCAAAACAGAAAATGGGACATATCTCCAGAACACGGACACACGAACCTCTCATCTCTTTGGGACCTTTAAACGACACTGAAATATGTTTTAAACGAGCCCTAGATCATAAGAAACGATGGAAATTTGACTGACCTAGGGTACTTGCTCCCAAAACAGAAAATGGGACATATCTCCAGAACACGGACACGCGAACCTCTCGTCTCTTCGGGACCTTTAAACGACACTGGAATATGTTTTAAACGAGCCCTAGATCATAAGAAACGATGGAAATTTGACCGACCTAGGGTACTTGCTCCCAAAACAGAAAATAGAACATATCTCCAGAACGCGGACACGCAAACCTCTCGTCTCTTTGGGACCTTCAAACTACACTAGAATAGGTTCTAAACGAGCCTTTAATCAAGGATGATGATGGAGAACTCACAAAGATAGAGTACACCCTCCTGATGAATCATGAAACTTAGCATGACAGATATCTCAAAAATATGATAGCGGATGCCTCTCGTCTCTTCAGGCCCTAAAATCGACATCAAATAGCTGGTAATCAACACTCATTTGGTAGAAAACGGTACAGAACTGACCAAGATACAAAATAGCCTCATGGTGTCTATCCAGCACCTATTACATGTTTCTTAGGGCTAATATTGGGCTATTCTGGTACCCATTTTTACATTATACTATGTGGAGTTCATTTACAATTGATATGGTACACTACTCAAGTTTACGGTTAAATATAAAGTGGGGGAGGCTTACTTGGCTGAGATAAGCCTGCCCTAAATCTCAACCCACCCTAAAGTGCCTCAGATATATATAGCGCTTCAGCATTTGTCATGTCTCTTTTGCGTTCCTTGTCCTCTTCTCCTCATACCACCACCTCCCCCCAATTTATGTACAATCGTAAACTTAAGTAGTGTACCATATCAATTGTAAACAAGTTCCACATAGTATAAGTTAAGACTGGGCACCAGAATAGCCCAATATTAGCCCTAAGAAACATGTAATAGGTGCTGGATAGACACCATGAGGGTGTTTTGTATCTTGGTCAGTTCTGTACCGTATTCTACCAAATGAGTGTTGATTACCAGCTATTTGATGTCGATTTTAGGGCCTGAAGAGACGAGAGGCATCCGCTATCATATTTTTGAGATATCTGTCATGCTAAGTTTCATGATTCATCAGGAGGGTGTACTCTATCTTTGTGAGTTCTCCATCATCATCCTTGATTAAAGGCTCGTTTAGAACCTATTCTAGTGTAGTTTGAAGGTCCCAAAGAGACGAGAGGTTCGCGTGTCCGCGTTCTGGAGATATGTTCTATTTTCTGTTTTGGGAGCAAGTACCCTAGGTCGGTCAAATTTCCATCGTTTCTTATGATCTAGGGCTCGTTTAAAACATATTCCAGTGTCGTTTAAAGGTCCCGAAGAGACGAGAGGTTCGTGTGTCCGCGTTCTGGAGATATGTCCCATTTTCTGTTTTGGGAGCAAGTGCCCTAGGTCAGTCAAATTTCTATCGTTTCTTATGATCTAGGGCTCGTTTAAAACGTATTTCAGTGTCGTTTAAAGGTCCCGAAGAGACGAGAGGTTCGTGTGTCCGCGTTCTGGAGATATGTCCCATTTTCTGTTTTGGGAGCAAGTACCCTAGGTCAGTCAAATTTCCATCGTTTCTTATGATCTAGGGCTCGTTTAAAACATATTCCAGTGTCGTTTAAAGGTCCCGAAGAGACGAGAGGTTCGTGTGTCCGCGTTCTGGAGATATGTCCCATTTTCTGTTTTGGGAGCAAGTGCCCTAGGTCAGTCAAATTTCCATCGTTTCTTATGATCTAGGGCTCGTTTAAAACATATTTCAGTGTCGTTTGAAGGTCCCGAAGAGACGAGAGGTTCCCGTGTCCGCGTTCTGGAGCTATGTCCCATTTTCTGTTTTGGGAGCAAGTACCCTAGGTCAGTCAAATTTCCAGTACTTTATTGTGCCCTACCTATTCCTGTCGGACTCCGCTCATTCCTGCGGATTCCGGTGGAATGGGACCGGACTCCGGCGGAATCTGCAGGAATGGGACTGGAATCCAGTGGAATCCAGCGGAGTCCTGCGGAATCCAGCGGAATCCAGTGGATTCCAGTTGAATAAGACCACAATCCACCATAAATAGCAGTACTTTACCCTCCCCCACATGCTCTGATCAGAGTATCTACAATCAGAATGGATCAGCACTGATCTAGAGGTCAGGTGACTTAATCTGCATTGATTCAACTCAATACTCAGAATTTCTTATAAAATTCACTTCTAGTCAAGTCATTCATCTCAATAAATCAAATTTTAATGTATTTTATTAATGACATGAGTCTATTTTACTACATACAGTGCATATTAAAGAAGGGGATGGATAAGGGGCAGGGACAAGGAAATGGGGAGGGACAGGGAAGGGGGCAGGGAAAAGGGGGTACATGGAAATGGGGAGGGACAGGGAAGGGGGATGGGAGTACATGGAAATGGGGAGGGACAGGGAAGAGGGGCAGGAAAAGGAAGGGAGGGACAGGGAAGGGGGAGGGACAATGCACTCGTCGTCGTCGTGTGATGTCGTGGTGGCTGTTAGCGAGATGGGATAGGATGAAGGAGAGTCAGGGGACTCACCTTTGTGTGAACGACGAACGACGTCGTCGTCGTCGTCGTTCGTCGTTTGGTTGCCACATCGCTGACAGCGACGTGGCACCTTGGTTTCCCATCGGCGGGGGCACGTCGTCGTGCATTGACGTGGGTGTCCGTTGGCGTGGTCATCGTCCATTGACGTGGTGGTGGTGCGTTGACGTGGTCGTCCGCTGGCGTGGTCGTCGTCCGTTGAGGTGGTGGTGCGTTGACGTGGTCGTCCGCTGGCGTGGTCGTCGTCCGCTGGCGTGGTCGTCGTCCGCTGGCGTGGTCGTGGTCCGTTGACGTGGTCGTGGTCCATTGACGTGGGCGTCCGTTGGCGTTTGACGTGGGCGTCCGTTGACGTCGTGGGGCGTGTCGTGGTTCGTGGGCGTGGTCATGGTCGTCGTGGTCGTCCCTCGTGGTCCGTTTTCGTCCCCTCGACCTCGCCGGGGCTCGTTTGCTTGCTGACGTGGCGTTGCCGCGTTGTTGATGTGGTCGTTGTTGGCGGTCGACGACGTTTGTGGGCGGTGGTGGCCACAGCTGACCGTGGTGACGTGGCGTGGGTGGGTAGCGGGCGCGCGTTTACGAGGAGCGGGGACGTTGGTGGTGGTGGGAGGAGAGGTTAGTGGTGGTGGGAGAGAAGAGGGTTGTATTTGGATGAGCGTGAAAGCCGTTGCCAAACAAACCGGATTCCGGTTGCATTCCGTTTTTGCCAATCCGGGGACCATTCCGGTCACAATTCCGGAATGCCGAAATTCCGCCGGAATGGTAAAGCACCGGAATGGAGAAAATAGCAGGCCTCTCTGCTAAATTTCACTCCTCCGGAATCCACCGGAATCCACAGGAATGACCGGAATCCTACAGGAATTAGGGGGGCACTGATAAGACCTCCAAATTTCCATCGTTTCTTATGATCTAGGGCTCGTTTAAAACATATTCTAGTGTCGTTTGAAGGTCCCGAAGAGACAAGAGGTTCGCGTGTCCGCGTTCTGGAGATATGTCACATTTTCTCTTTTGGGGGGAGTTGAGCTGTATCTCAGTCAGCTTTACACCATTTTTCTTCACTGAAAGCTCGTTTACATTGTATTCTGGTTGTATTTGAAGGAGCTGAAGAGATGACATCCATACGTGCTCCTATTTCCATGCTATCTCACATCCTTCCCTATTTTTTTTGCGAATTTTTATTTATTTTCATAATCATTTGGTTTCTATTATAGTTCTATGCTCGAAATATACATTACACTGTGTATCTATCAGGTAGACAGCATCTAATTTACCCAGATTTATAGTCACATCACTTTGAGAATTATGTGCCGGCTTGAGCCGGCTTTGGGTCAGCTAAAAGCCGAGCCGAGCCACTTAAGGAAATTTAGCTGGCTTACATAAGCCGGCTCTCAGCTAGCCGAGCCGCGGCAACACTACGTGGGCACGAGACAACGACGCGACGCGAGAACGTGACGACAACAATGCGACGACAACAACAACACAACGACAACGACAACGCGACAACGACAACAATGCGACGACAACGACAATGCGACGTAGGAACGAGACGACGCAATGTGGGTACCAGACGATGACGAACGTGTCGTCGTTTGTCCTGTTTGCTGATCTTGTGAGCCATTCCCCTCATTCTCTCATTTGCTGACATGGGTTTCAGGTCTCTTCCCCTCCATTGCCCATCTCTCCCTCCCTTCCTCCCCCTTTCTTATGCTGATCACAGCCCCACACCACTGCCTGTCCCTCCCTTCTTTCCTCCTCCCTTCTTTCCTCCTCCCTTCCTTCCTCCTCCCTTCCTTCCTCCTCCCTTCCTTCCTCCTCCCTTCCTTCCTCCTCCCTTCATTCCTCCCCCCTTCATTCCTCC